GCAATTTTGTTCCCTCCAGTGGGTTTTTTCCTTGCAGAAATGCTTTGCTCTCTGGCAATTGCGTGGCTGGGATGTGTCTTTGAACTGAAAGAGAAAGCCTCTTTCTTCCCAGGATGGAGAGAGATGTGGATGAGTAGAAACTACTGGAGTGCAAATATCTGTGTGCAAGCATTGCACAGAGGAAATGCTCTGTCTGTTGCTCTGTCGCTGCTCGGCACAGAGCCAGAGCAGGACTCTTGGGAGTTTGTGATACGCAAGAGCTCCAAGGAAGAATTCTGAAACATCAGAGCGATCAGTTCTAATGTTTTATTAAAGAAAGGCATAGACTTACAGTGAAGCAGCCTGCTAGTTCCCCTTGCCCTTACAGATACAGGACAGACTCTACAGCACGCAGGCATTGCAGCAAGGAGATGGCTTGTCCACATGCAAGCAAAAGGGCATAGCTTCTTCTTCTTCTTTTCTTTTTTCTTTTATAAATCTTTCTAATTGAATTTTACATTGCAAATTTAAATTCAAACAATCATCACCATCATTTAGGATTCCCTGCATCCTTTCACTCCCCTCCACCCTTCCATGGTTACCATTTTCAATCTTTTTCCACTGCTTCACTTATTTTCTCTATTTTTCTTACATAATCCAATTTTACCTTAGTTTTCAGTACATTACAAACGTTATTCAAATCCCACCAAAGTTTTTAGCTGTTTACAGTGTTCTCTTAAGTACATTGTCAATTTTCCCCATTCCTTCTTAAAGTTCTTCTCTTCCTGCTTTCTGATTTCCCCAGTCAATTTCGCCATTTTGACATAGTCCATCATCTTCATCAGCCATTCATCTCTGGCTGGGACTTTATCTTCTTTCAATTTCTGGGCCAATAGTATCCAGAGGCCTCTTTGTTAGGAATTTTAGGTGCGGAGATACCAAAGGAGCAGAGACTATTATTTATGTATGCGGCGACAGCAGCACGGATACTACTAGCTTCTTCATACAGCAAAGCAAAATACGTAAATCACCTGACTGGCAGGTAGCCAATACCCAAAACATCACAGATATCCCTCTCTCTGGCCTTGGAGCCCAGTATCCCAAGCCCACAGAAAAGGGTACCCTCAAAGCAAGCTGAACATAGACCTATGTGAGCTCTTGGCTACAACTGCTACCAATTGATTGTGGGGTCATCTTGAGTGCCAAGATAGCGCTATCAGAGCTTCAGGAGGAGCTCACATTTGGTTCAACACATCTGTCCACCTTTGCCTTTGGAACCACCCACCACTTGCATGTGGCTCCTGGAAGGCTGCCAAGGATGGTATGAGTCCCTTCTTCTGGAAAAGGTCCCCCCTTGTGTTATGTGACAGACCAGCTGTGGAGAGGCCTGTTCAAATCCCCACTCAGCCCTGAAACTTGTTGGAATGACCTTGTATCAGCCACCATCTCTCAGGTCCAACCACCTCACAGGGCTGTTGTGAGGATCATATGAGGAGGACAAAGATCTGCATCTACTGTCTTGACTCTGCAAGTCAGCTTTCACTCACACAGGATGGATATTTTGTCAACAGGTTCCTCCTGTAACCACTACCACCATGGTGCTAGTACTATTACTACTAGAAATAGCAATATATGTCATACCACATATATTATCTCGGCAGTGTTCACCACCGTATAATCCCCTTGGCTTCTAGAATACCTCTAGCTTGGCCTCAAGCATTGCCTAAAGCCAGATTTGAGGCACACTTGGGACCTCTTGATTGTTGAAAACATCTGGGGAATTTCAAAGCAAGCCAAACAAGTTTTGATAAGACAGCAAAATTCCTCAGCTGTTTTCCCTCACCATCTTCACACTTCTAAGTTCCCAAAGAGGTTCCTACTTCGGGGGTGGTGGTGGCGAGAGAGTAATTTAAAGTGGAGCTAGAAGAATTTCAGTACGACTAATTAAATTTCTCAAGAGGGTTTTTCAGTCTCAAAAACATATTCCCTGGCCATGGAAAAATCCCTCTGAGCATATGCAGGGCATTTTTTTATGAATGGTGAGAACGAGCGAAGAATGTAGAAGGGAAGCTATTGGTAAAATATTAGTTTATTTGAGGAGGCAGCACCAATTCAGACTGTGGAGCACTATTATTAACTAAACATTCACGCACCACGGAGTAATGAGATCAGTGCTTCTGAGCTTGCCCAGGTTATTTTTACTTCAGTTGTTTATCCAAGCTTACTTGGCTAAATTACTAACAAGCTGAGTTGTGCTTTCTAACAGTCCTATGCAAGTCCATTTAGAAGAAAGTACCACACTTTCACCCTTAGTGGTGGCTATTCCTGGTTATTCCTTGAAGGTTGTTGGGCGGCCTCTACTGACCCCTTAGGAAATTTAATTTCAGGGGATTCTGGAGAAGGATTTTTAGATTGCAAGCCTGAGTTCAGGGGCTGTCTTACTACTGATCTTTGTCAGTAGCTTTGAGAGCTTTTTTGGCTTTAAATAAATCATTGTCTTCTCTTATTTGCAGTACATACCAACTTTCATTTTGAAAAAAGACCCTGTCTTTTTCTAAAGAGATATACTTGGGTATAGAGCCTTGAATTGAGCCTTGTGGATGGCACACAGGGACCGACTGCAGTGTTTTCAAACATTAGCTTAAGCTTCCAGACAAACTTCACGGACAGCCCGATGTCTGGACATATTAGAACATAGGTTACTTACACGAAGCTATCCCAGTTCAGAAATTATTGTAGCTAGTGCATCAGCTGAAGCTGGGAATAAACATTCCTTGCCACTGAAGCTACGTGGGCTTATAGTGAAAGTTTCGAATTGGGTAGTCCCCGTCCATATGCATGCTTCTTATATCTCCCATTCACAACAGGAGATCTCACAATTTTATTTCTAAATAAAATTGCATAACTATTTAGCCAAGCTATTTGGATAAGTGGGAGAAGCTGATAACAACAGTTCACGAAAAAAGGTCCTGAAAACCAGGGAGCTAGAAAACTAAAAATAGAGCATCAGCATTAAAAGAGCTGCCATTCGGCTCATTTCTCTTAAATTTATGAAACTGGTAAGACTTTTATGGCCTCTGCATTTGGGTGCTCTCAGTCAGAGCCATCATAGAATCAATGACGGAGGGCAATACATAAAGCTTTTGAATATAAATGAAAACAAAACAAAACACCTTCAGCCGGATTTACAGACTCCTGTGCTCCTCCCTACTGTTTTGAATTTATTTCCAGCCACGTGAAAACCATTGAGGGTTTAAAAGGGGGTATTATCTACCATACAGAATAAACTGGTTTCACAACAGTGGGTGGGGGTTCCAGATGGTTGTTTGTTGTGTGATGGGTGCTCCTCACGCACTTACGTTTTTCACATACCGTATTTTTCGCTCTATAAGACGCACCAGACCATAAGACAAACCTAGTTTTTGGAGGAGGAAAACAAGAAAAAAAATATTCTGAATCTCAGAAGCCAGAACAACAAGAGGGATCGCTGCACAGCGAAAGCAGTAATCCCTCTTGCTGTTCTGGCTTCTGGGATAGTTGCGCAGCCTGCATTCGCTCCATAAGACGCACACACATTTCCTCTTACTTTTTAGGAGGGAAAAAGTGAGTCTTATAGAGCAAAAAATATGGTAATCACTGGCATCAGAATGTCAGCCCTCGTTCTTCCCAGTTTAATCGATTGATCCCTTCCATGGAAACTGCAGCAAGTTTGTTTAAAACAAGACACCAGCCAGCTGCCAACGACCCGTTTGCGATACCCATTTGCAATATTTAGCACACACTTCCACACTGGAAGCAACTAACACAAGGCCAGCCCCAACACATTCTGGCACCCGAGGCGAACCACTAAATGGCATTCCTTCACTAGGGCTGTGAGATGTCGGGGAGGAAGGGGCTGCTGAACAGATGGCAGATCTGACTTCCAAGAAGTGAGCCACAGCTGTCACTGACACTGTGGCACTGAGTGATGCATTCCTCAGAGGCCAGATCTGCTAAACCCTGTGGATTCTGCCGCCCAAGGCTGTCAACCTCAATTTGCCTCATGACCTAAAAAGTAACTGTAGTTCTGTGGAGAGGAGTGAGACAGGGACCTCTTTTTCTGCACCCTTGCCAAATTAAAATGACCTAACACATAACACTGGTCCTGAAAGACCTACATTGGCTCCCAGTACATTTCTGAGCACAATTCAAAATGTTGATGCTGACCTTTAAAGCCCTAAACGACCTCGGTCGAGTAGACCTGAAGGAGCATCTCCACCCCATTGTTTAGCTCAGACACTGAGGTCCAGCTCTGGGGGCCTTCTGGCAGTTCCCTCACTGCGAGATGTGAGGTTACAGGAACCAGGCAGAGGGCCTTCTTGGTAGTGGCGCCCGCCCTGTGAAACACCCTTCCATCAAACGTCAAGGAAATAAACAACTATCTGACTTTTAGAAGACACTTGAAGGCACTCCTGTTTAGGGAAGTTTTTAATGTTTTATTGTATTTTTAATATTTTGTTGGAAGCCGCCCAGAGTAGCTGGGGAAACCCAGCCCAAAGGACAGGGTATAAATAATAAATTGTGAAGATGATGATGATATTCTTTGAGGGATGCCACAAGAGTTAATTAATGTGAAACTGTTAACAGCATGTCAGATATGTCCTTAGTGCCATGTGGTTTAAGGAAACACACGAACATTCTACATAATTGAGTTAGCTTCTGGTAGGGATCCTAGGACAATTTGCACCTTATGAACAATTGATTTGAAATACCTCAAAGCAACAAAGGACTGATTTCCCCCCATGGACTGTCCTAATGTATCACACCAAGTTTTCATTTTCTCAATATTTTGCTGGGATTTTAGTTATATGAATGGACTACCCATCCTGTTTAGAGGGCATGTTTATGGAGACAGGGTGTTGCTTGCAGAAGGGATGAAAGTGTTAATTTCACACATATATTCCAGTGCATTGCTAAATTTCTTTCTGTAAGTATGATCTGTTCTAGTTCCCCACCTGTTCCAAAGAAAGTCATGCCAGTGATTTCATTCTAAATTAACTTTTAATAAGCTTTCATATTTCAGTGTAGTACAAAATGGAGATGCATCTTGGGGAGGAGGAAAGGTTTTTCATTGCAGCATTTTTCATATAACTGATTGATAATTTCTCATTTAGAAAAATTGGCACTTTTTTTTATTATGCATATAGCCGTGATAACTTCAGCAATATATACAAACTAACCTTTTGGCACATATACATACAGGTATTTTACAGATAATAAATAAGAACATTTAAAGCCTAGTTTTATTTTCTCACATATAAAATACTTCACCATTTGGTGATCAAATGCTGTTGATATTTATATTTGATTTTGCCTTGAAATGTGCAATTCATAATACATTTATAGATACTGAACCCTCACTTTTCAGGAATTTGAAAATGGAAGTATGAAATTTCGTCAAGAAGAAACACTGCCTTATCTTTATAGATCTCCTTCAATACTTAGTTATCAAACTCAATTATCCTGCCTACACCATAGTTCATCAGGGCATAGAAATCATTTTTGAGCCAGCTAAACTACTATAAATTCTTTTTTAAAAAGAATGTTCTTGAAGGATGCAGTTTCTGTTGTGTTAGACTGGGGTATGTGCGTCCTGGACCACAGTTTTGTCACCACACACAGGATTTTGGTAACAATTTATTTGTGACATGTTTTTGCTCAAACAATGAATATTAAATGTCAGATAGCCCCTCGGAACAAGAGATAGGTCAGTACATATATATTTCCAGGTATGCTTTTTCAGGTATCCTCATAAAACAACAGCTTTTTGTTTTAACTGAGTTATCGGCTACAAAACTGAAAAGACTACTAAAGTATTTTGAGCATTCTAGTAAATACTTCTTAAGACCCCTTTGATTTATAGCTTGTCCATGTGTCCATGACTTTCTGATTCAAAGGGTGTAATGTTTGTGCATAATCTGAAAGTGTGCATATTCTAAAAGTGTGCAATACTGCTTTTTGTTAAAACCTGCATGATTTCAGACAAACACTGTTATTCAAGCTTCTGCTGTTCTTCATATTGATGAGCAACAAAAGAGGTAACATCCCCAAATTTAAGAATACCAGCAACAAAGACGTGTTTGTCCTTTATCCTAGTCCTAGGAACAATGATTGCAGCTGTAACAATTGCTCAAGACTAGGAGTTGCCAAATTGAAATTGATAACGGAAATAGTGTTCCTGCAATCTTTTAACAAACTGTTACTCCTTTTTACTAATTGCTTGGTACAGTGCCAGAGAGTGCATATGTTTTTATACAGATGCACTGCATTCTTGTTTAAAAAAATGAAGACAGGACATTAAAAAAAATGCTAGCTTCTTCTCTGGAAAATTTATTATCCTATTTAAAAAGTAAGTGTTCAATAAGTAATACCTAAGTGTACATAAGTGCTGACCAACTGCAGAGACTTCACCCTGCAGTCTTTCAGTCATGCTCAGGGTTGGAGGAGAAATGTATATAACAGGAATATGTTAAGTGAGAACTCTATCTATTGCCCTCCCCCTTCAAGTGAAATTATTGCATTTCAGTCAAAGGATGCAACACTGAATGAATGACCTGAATGGAAATTGTCCAGCAAAATGTCCAGGTGATCATTAAAAAAACCTATAAAAATACAAACTCATCAGTTGAAATATCTAGCCTTTCAATAAATAGTTTTGGTTTTTTTTTACACACAGTACATTATAAAAAAGTGAGAAACTGTAACAAGGTGGTGTGACAATTATGGTAGTTTGCTCTCAATGCAATGTGAGAGGCTTCTTTAAAAAAGAACAGTTGGCTAATGTGCGCTCTTTTGCATACTGAGATAAAACAAAAATACTCTGACCCAGAGAAGGGCATCCCCATATTTTAAAGTAGGCTTCTGCACGCATACCATTCGCTGGATCGGGAATACAGTGAAGATTTGAATCCTCGTTGAAAATGTTGTCTATTGCACTGCATTCATTTCAGTTGGGTGTGCGTTCAACTGGGCAACCCCAACCGCATTCTGGTGCAACCAGTCTAGAGCCTGGGATGGGCGAGAGTCTCTTAGAGCAACGAAGAAAGTAGACAGCATTGCAGAAGACCAATAAATATTTCAATGGGTTCAGCCCCCGAACAGCCAACATACTGGCTCTTTCCCTGAATGGAACTTCTTCACCCACTTGCTAGTCTCCGAGGAACTCAAGCGCCGATATTTATTTCGTGACTTGACCTGGTCTCTAAAAAGAAAACAATGGGGTGGCAAAGAAAGAGGAACATGAGATCCGTGGGCACAGCAGGATTGAACTTGGGGAGGGGGAGGGAACTGCTGACAGAAGGCAGAAGAGGGGTCAGTTACAATAGCTTGTCGGCATGAGCCCACCAGGGTTCAGTATTGTGGGATGTGAAACACAAGAGCAGTCAAGTACAACATCCCTAGAGTGGACATAAAAGCGGATGTCTGGACCAGACAGTCGGAACTTCCTGTTCCTCCTAGGCTGGGACAGACTTCCTCTGCATGTGACTAGAGTTAGGTGTGACCTCACCTGCAAAGGTAACCAAAGAGTAGGACTGGTCAGCCATCTCTCTCTCTGTGACCACATTCGTCTTGGCTTCCAGCCAAGAGGACAAAGGAGCTGTCTCCTTATGGGATCGTTTCCAGGTGTATATTACTTTTGTAACTTAGGTCTGCCTTCTGGGATCCATTTGTGAACAGAATGTGTGAGTGAACTCTTTTTATACTTTTATAGAAGACTGTGTCATGTCTATCTTTTTGTGAGGGACTAAATGGGGAATTACCAAGGAAACGTATTTTAGAGGCTTTAGCGAGCCTGAGCAAACGCATCCGCTGTGCAAGTTTAAAAAGGGGAATGTTACTCAGCTAAATTGTAGAACTTGTTAACACAAGTTGGAAAGGGTATAATCAAACAATATATCCTCTCCTGCATCCCTGAACATTCCCGCAAGTATTTGGTGGTTTGTGCTTTTTCCCCCCTCTCCCTCAGAATGCAGAGCATATGTTTTAATTATATCCCATGGGAGGATGCCTGCACACAATCAGAGAGAAGCGTTATGTTTGACTTTCTCTACAATGCCCTAGCAGGTTACGTACAGAACGAGGAGAACCCTGCAGTATGTGCGGTCAGTGGACTGGGGGGTTCTAGTCTAGCCCCTTAAATGTTCTTCTGGCACCTCCTTCCCAAAGCCCAGAAAGATTCTGCCCAGCTTAGGGAGGGAGGCACGATGCTCACACACACACCAACCCAATCGCTCTCAAGGTGGCACCTCTGGCCCTAACTGGCCCCATGTCACTGAGGTACAGTCTAGCAAGAGTGCATCACCTGATTTCGCTTATAATGGAACTTGGCTCTTAATCACCATTTAGGAAGAGCAGGCATGGGTTGGATTCTACAGTGACCTGTGTGGTGGGGTGGAGCTGCTGTACTCAAGATACTAACCTTGCTAACTAACAATGCCTCTGCTGCAGCTTGCCTGAATCAGACTGAGATGGGGCAGGGCAGTGATGACGTAAGGGCTGTGAGGGCGCACCGGCAGAAGTGCTGGATCATGTCTGCCACTGTTCCTGTGCAGTTCCAAACCCGCCACTGCCCTGCCCCACCCCCTGTGAGAAAGGTGGTGGCAACTCATCACTCATGACCGAGTTCTCAGTGATACAGCTGCAAAGTTCTTACCATGAATCGTGATCAATGGAGTTTTTTCCAAGGCATCTCACGAATTCCACAGCTCCACCTCCTTTTTTGAGGTAAGAGAATCCATCGCGAGAGCAGAACACCAACCTGCAGAGTACACAGAATATTACCATAGCTCTTTCCCGAAACAGCTATTAATACACCATCCTAAATGCAACGTCTTATCTCTTGTTATTTAATCTGTTTCTTACACTGGAAAAGTCTTCTGAATAGTGGCATTTTATAATTGCAGGGAGGAGACAGGTTAACATGTTACTTTATTTCTTCTATGATGAAATTATACATATGGCACTTTCAATTATTCCAGAGAAGCAAGTTATGCTTACAAACCACAAAGATTTTGTGACATTAAAAATACCATCCTGGACCGTATTTTGTAAAAGATTTAATACTGCAAGCTTCCACTGTATAGTGCAGAGAAGTATTACAATTATATACTCCCACTGAAGTCTGATCTTTAGCAGAAGACTAAATTAGAAAAACACTGGGGGGGGGGGGAATGTTGCTTGCTGATTATCCTATTGACACTGTCAGCAAACCTATATGGTAAAACTTTTACTGGACCATATCACAGCATTTCCTCCTTGCTTGCTGCACAATGTATTGATGATTCCTTGCACTCTAGAGGACAGGCAGCCCACCTCTATGCTCTCTCTGGGAGTTTGACTGTATGGAACTACCTTATATTAAGACAGTCCATTGGCTAATAGAGCTCAATATTGTCTACTCTGATTGGGAGACACTCTAAAACAGGGGTCAGCAAACTTTTTCAGCGGGGGGCCGGTCCACTGTCCCTCAGACCTTGGGGGGGGAGGGGTCGGGCTATATTTTGAGGAAAGAAATGAACAAATTCCTATGCCCCACAAATAACCCAGAGATGCATTTTAAATAAAAGCACACATTCTACTCATGTAAAAGCACCCGGCGGGCCCCGCAAATAACCCAGAGGTGCATTTTAAATAAAAGCACACATTCTACTCGTGTAAAAACATGCTGATTCCCGGATCATCCCTGGGCCGGATTTAGAAGGCAATTGGGCCAGATCCAGCCCCCGGGCCTTAGTTTGCCAACCCATGGTCTAAAGTGTCCAGAGAGTGCCAAGTATTCGGCTCACTGAATGGGCTGTTCCTCTCCATCCTCCAGCATCCCCAAAGCAGCTTATCACAAGAGTCAGAGGACCCTCAAACAATGTGGGATATGGTGTGGAAGGCTGCTGGTGGTGAGGGGAGTCTCCCTTGCATGAGAAGAACTGCCTTTCGCTCACATGGTGCACCTCATGGTGCCAAGGTCTCTCTCAACTCTGCTAGTAGAGATGTTTTAACTCAAGTGTGGTGGACCCGTGGAACTCCGATATTGCTGGATCATAAATCCCATGTTCCCTGACCATGAGCCATGCTGGAGGGCCACAGGTTCACCAGCCCTGCCTGAACTCATCTGGGTTTCCCATCCACAGAAAATTTCAGCATACCACTTTCACAGAGAATGGATAGATGGCAACTAGTCCTAGATGAAAGCAAAATGCGCTGCAAGGTAAATGACACACACGGCACAATCCATTCTCTTACTTTTTCTGGGTTTCTCCAGCCTTGACTCTGACTTTTTGGATGCCAAACTCAGGGGTACCCCACCAATCGGCCCAGTCGAGAAATGAGCCTTTCTCCCACTGGATTTTGACAATGAGCAAGTCCCCAATGTCAACCTCTGTGTAGATCAGGAACGAATGAGTTTTGTTTGTGGAGATCTCGGGCCTGTTAAAAAAGAAAATCTATGCTTAGGCAATACTTCCCTGAAACCTTGTAAGAATTCAGTTATCTGAGAATGCAGTTGTTTCTTAAATGAGGAAACATGGGAAAGACTAAGGTGCTGGCTCATAGGACATAGCACACATCGTATCAAACATGTATAGGAGCAAAGATGTTCCACTAAATAATCAATTCTACCCACTATGTCAATCCTTATTTTAGCATCCACACAGGCACACGAGAGAGAAAGTGCGACAGTGGCTTGCAACAGACCAAGCTGAGACAACTCAAAACAAGAGCATGAAGTAGAGACAGAACCCATTGTTCAATACCATTACAGTGGTACCTCGGGTTAAGAACTTAATTCGTTCCAGAGGTCTGTTCTTAACCTGAAACTGTTCTTAACCTGAAACACCACTTTAGCTAATGGGGCCTCCCACTACTGCCAGAGCACGATTTCTGTTCTCATCCTGAAGCAAAGTTCTTAACCCGAGGTACTATTTCTGGGTTAGTGGAGTCTGTAACCTGAAGCGTCTGTAACCTGAACTGTCTGTAACCCAAGGTACCACTGTATTAAGACTACGTCTGCCCACAGAATCTCACATGGGAGAAGGAAGTTCAGATTTAATTTTAAATCTCTGGTGGACTTAGGTGCCCTAACTGCCTTGTGACTGTAATCTTTGTACACAAAGATATGATTAGAGGAACTCAGCAATAAAAATTCAGTTATCTATGTGATTAAGTCACGAGACATAAGGGCATAAAAATACAGCGCCTACTGAACTCTTCATTTTATTTTATTTTAAAGTGAATGGGTGGAGATCTGCATACACAAAGAACAACACATATGACTTCTACTCATAGCTTTATCATTTACACAACACAACTCCTAAGCAATTTGAAGCTTTTGCCATACCTGGTCAATTGAGTCCCATAATACAGAAAGAGGCAAAGTGATTTTACTCTCTGCCCTGCATAGCTGCTTAGCTCCTTAACTATTTCTCAAACTGGATGGCTGCCTTTGTATGCTGAAGTGTTTTGAGGTGTGTGTTTTGGAGTCAGTCAGACTACAAGATGCAGACTGAGAAGCAAGCCTCTGCATGACTGATTGATTATAGAGTCTTTGTATAACTCTGTGTGTGTGTGTGTGTGTGTGTGTGTGTGTGTGTGTGTGTGTGTCTGTCTGTCTGTATGTCCATACATTTAACGTTTCTACTACCCAAAATAAATGCAGTTGTTTGTCAATACTCACAGTGAAATTGCAATATTCTCACTTTCATCCTTCGTGCCATAGAAAGAGAGACGGAATTGCTGGTCTTTCTTGGTTGTATTCACCTTTGCGAAAAAATGGATCTTGACTTGATAATGATAGACTAAGCAACAAAAAGAGAGACCAAAAACAACAGATGAAAAACCTAAATTCAATTCTTTTTAATTATCTTGAGTTAGAAGCCACTACTTTTATTCAAGCATATCAATACTTCTGCATCCAAGTCACAAAGTCAGTTTTGTAAGATTTATTCACCATCAGTTAACAAAAGATCATAAAATCCATTGATAATCACCTTCTGTATCATGTGATGGAAAGGTGGGGTATAAATCAATTTATACCCAATCATAGAACTTTATCTGATTATCTCATATCTGCAAACAATGCTGGTTTTTTGCATTATGACTGGATTCTGGACAATAATGGAATGAATTAACAATGTCAATCAATCAATCAATCAATCAATCAATTTATTGTGCATAGCCAAAGGCTTTTACAATGTACAGCTGAGGGCAAGGCAAAGCTTTCCTCTGAAATTGCATGACATACCCTATAAAAGTCTGCAGCATAAAAAGTTTACAGCATGAAATTTTAAAATTAGAGAGCATTAATATGTCTGGAACGGAGCTTCTTAGCTGCCAGAGCAAATTTGGGTACCAGGTGTGTCATCTGTAGATCTTTATCAGAGTCCGACTGCCACTTCCTAGGGGGATTGGCCCTATACTGTATACAGTGGGGGCAAATTAGCAGGTAGCACATGATATCCTCAACCTGATTGCATCCATCAATGCATTTGTGTTCCATATTGGGAATTCCCAGGTATCTCCCCTCTAAGTATGCTGAGGGCATCTGTTGGAACCTTAGTTCAACAAATGCCCCACTCAGTCATGGGAAAGTCAGTGTCTCAAGGTCTTGAATGGTTGATCTTAATTTGGGGGTACCAGGAAGAGTAACGAGCAGCTATAATGGATGCTCTATCTTGATTGGCATTCTGGTCAAAGATCCAATTTCTAAGGTCATGTGAACTCAGGGCCAAATATTTCTCCATTTGGAGATTTTAAGCCCTAAACTTATTGTGACACTTTTGCACCCAGCCACTTGTTTTTAGTTGCTCTAACCAGAAGAGCTTAGTAGGAATATGGCCCTCAGAGGCATTTAGTCTGTGCCAGTATCTGAGGTAGGCTAGATTGATTCCAGCTGTTATCGAGGGGAGACCCAACTCAGTTCAGAGGTGGGCGACCAGCAAAATTAACAATGTCAGATCCAGACAAAACAGCTGGTACGGCCGCAGTCTGCTTCTCTCCTTACTCGGGGAAAGAGAGGCATGATTCAGGTGGAAGGTTCCTGCACAAGCTCCTTTGAATAAGTAGTGCCTATGCAAGAGAACTACCAGGCTTTTCCATCATTCTCTTTAAATTATTTATATTCACGCACAAAAAACCCCCAGAGAATAGAATAGAGAAAGTCACCACTTTTACCTTTGTAAGGCATTTGACTTCGAGTCTTCAGGTACATCTTGGTGCCCCTCTTGCTTCTTACTCTGTTGGCTTTGTAGCCCAAGTTGTTGCAGCGGTTCTTTCTGCAGCTCAAGCAGAGCCCTTTGTCAAACGCTTCTTTTGAGTTGCAGCGATAGGCCATAATTGGTTTCTCCTCGTACAAGAGGGAATCGATGAAGAGGTGAATGGAGCGTTCATGGGAGCATTTCAGCAGCTGATCTGCGTCTTTAAGGAAAAGGAAGCCATTATGTTACGGATGCACAGCTTACAGATGCGTTCCCTTTGTTAAACAACATATACAATATATGCAGGCGCCGTAAATGGCCTCCAGTTTTGACTTTTTGGAGGCCAAAATGAGTAAGTTTCAATGATGCAGATTTCCCCCCCTAGAAAAAGAAGAAATGTGATTTTTCTGCTCGTTCCAATGTAAGGATTTTCACTATAGATAAGAAGAAATAACCAATGTAATAGGGACCAGCATGAAGATCAATTCTCACATATATATGATATAGGTTAAATACTATTACCTTGAAGGCTATAGTTGATTAAAGGTAAAGGGACCCCTGACCATTAGGTCCAGTCGTGGCCGACTCTGGGGTTGCGGCGCTCATCTTGCTTTATTGGCCGAGTGAGCCGGCGTACAACTTCCGGGTCATGTGGCCAGCATGACTAAGCCACTTCTGGTGAACCAGAGCAGCACACGGAAACGCCGTTTACCTTCCCGCTGGAGCGGTACCTAGTTATCTACTTGCACTTTGAGGTGCTTTCGAACTGCTAGGTTGGCAGGAGCAGGGACCAAGCAACGGGAGCTCACCCCATTGCGGGGATTCGAACCGCTGACCTTCTGATCAGCAAGTCCTGTGGTTTAACCCACAGTGCCACCCGCGTCCCATAGTTGATTAAGCTATCATAAATTAAAAATGAGTGTTTCTAACACATTTAAGAATGATGTATTCTATGACACTGTTGATTGTATTTTACTTGTAAAATATTGTGGGTCAAGTCCCCATTTGCAGTGGATATGCTGGACCTAGCCATCCAACATTAAAATAAGCAGCTCTCTAATGCATAACACCTCCGGAGAATATTGAGTGTTTTCTTAACCATTCATCCACTGCATCTCTTGAATTCCCCAGTTGAGAATTGATAATGTGATTGGGAAACTAAAAAAAAAAAAAATCTAGCTAAACTTGGAATAAGCGTGAATTCAAACAAGAAGAAGTATAAAATTAATGGATGTTTCTGCGAAGGATCTGAAAAAAGGGGAGCAAGTTTTCAGAAGAATTTAATGTTCAGTAGCACATATGAACACAATTAACCACTAGCTTTCGGTCATATTTATGCCTTTATTAAGAATCAGACTTGAAAACTCACCCTGAAGTCCTCCTTCTGCAATCAGGAGCAGGGCTTGCGCGACGTTGCAACCAGGTTGGAAGATACCTCCATTAGGGTAGATATCAACATGGCCAACAGGTTTCTGTATTCCAATGCTGCGATCTGGGGACCCCCTTGTGAAAGTGTGCAGGACATCTACAAAGACAGCGTCATCTGGGGAAAGGCGTACGGATGCCTCAGCATATTCAAAGTTAGGGCCAGCAGGATCTAAACCTTAGGAGGGAAGAAAACTGTTAGAAATCCCTGTAAGTGTGATGCTTTTGTACGGCACATTGTCTAAAACAGAGCTTCCCAAACTTTTCATGTTGGTGATACCCTTTTTTAAAGACATATGGTGCATCATTTCGCGACACAGTAATTCAGTTTTACTAGCAAACCAGAAGTTAAACTAACCCCTTTGCAGCTGCAGGAGGAGTGCAGGGAGCATTCACATGACACACCTACACACTGCAGCTGGCACACTAACGTGTCACAACACACAATTTGGAAAACTCTGGTCTAAAAGAATGAATATTAGTGGTAGAGTTCCATAGGCCGGATTCACCTAACCTTGCATTCTAGCAGAAGCCAGTGCAAGGTCTCCCACTAGCACAATGGGCCTTTGCCCCCTCTCTTTCCGCAAATGAGGATTGGAAGAACCCTAGTGGGAGGACAGGGGAGATTTGTTTTGTCAGGAAAGTAGAAATACTTGTACCAATGGATTGGTGTAACATTGAATTCCTCCCCATTTCTCATTCAGTTCAATGGCAAAATTCCCACAGATATAAATAGCGCTCAACTGCACCTGCGCCTGCCCTGTGGAACGCCCTCCCATCAGATGTCAAGGAAATAACTATCTGACTTTTAGAAGACATCTGAAGGCAGCCCTGTTAGGAAAGTTTTTAATATTTGATGTTTTATTCTGTTTTTAATCCTTCGGGAGCCGCCCAGAATGACTGGGGAAACCTAGCCGGATGGGCAGGGTATAAATAATAAATGATGATGGTGATGGTGATGATGCTAGAAACAGAATCCTATAACTATTAGCACTACATCCCATTTCAGAAAGGTTGTAAAGCCTTTATGTAACATTTTAATGACCCTTTCCTGGTTTTGTTCTGAGGATAATTCATTTTGTAACGTGGAAGGAACCACGGCATTCAACCTTTCCTTTTTTAACTCAATGGCATCAATATTAGCTTACCAGTAATTCTGTTAATCTTATTAGTGGTCAGACTCCCAGCAATGCCAGCAACATGGGCACCAAGGCTGTATCCCAGCAAATGGACTTTGTTCAGTGAGTAACTGAATTGCTCCTATGAAAAAAATCATATTAAAAAGATTAAGCTCTAAATCTATAGTTTTTATCTTGCTTGACACTGAACAGCCGATGAACTGATTTGCAACAGGGGCCAGCCTAGCACTTGGGCTGCTCCCAGACTACACACACACACCCAAGTCATGCCCAGCGCTGCTTTGCACCTTCATTGAGTGCTTTTGCCTGCCTGGATTGGCTCCTTGAACTCTGACCATGCCTCTTTCCTGCTTGGATGGAGGCTGCAGAACAGTGTGTGTGTGTGTGTGTGTGTGTGTGTGTGTGTGTGTGTACACCAACCTACAGTACAAAGGTAAAGTTCACATTGACTGCTATGCCCATTTTGCTTCCAGTGCTTACCAGCACAGGAATGAGGCTCCCAGAAGGTTATCTATACAAGAATGTGGCCCTCACCCCTGATTTAGTCCAAAAATACTACAGCAGGAAGCCTACCACAAACCCACTCAACTTGCGCTAGAGCAGGGTACAACTCCCATCATCCCTAGCTAGCAAGACCAGTGGTCAGGGATGATGGGAGTTGTAGTCCAAAAACAGCTGGAGACCCAAGGTTGGGGGAGCATGGCTACTATTCATATATCCAGGAGACTAAGGACAAAGAAAAGAAAAGAAGGACAAAGAGGTGTGATCCTTGCCAAAGTGTACCGCTTCAAGCTGCAGCTCGGATTCTCAGATGTTCTTCCATATTAAAAAATCCCTGGACAGAAATCCAATAGGATGGAAAGAAGGTTCTCTAGACTGGCCTTCTGCCCAGTCTATATGCAGAACGTTCCCTCCATTGGGAGAATATTTAAACATGTAATTGCCCCACCTGCAGCCCCATGTGGCACACTTCAACAAGAGATGCATCGCTAGATTTCGCTGACTGCATAGCTATGCTTTAATATATAGCGTTTATAGTACATATTCTACACCTTTACCCTTCCTTGAATGTATTATGCACTAAAAATGAATGCAACTGCTTACCTCCAGCCAGTCAACAAACTTGGCAACATCTTCTCCCACCTCCTTTGTGTAGGCAGCAGAATCTGGATAATGTAAGCTGGATCGAGACAGCCAATCAACGACAATAACATTTGAATGGGGTTCCCTTTGATACAGAGCCTTTACCAGCTTGGGGACCCAGCTCTCGTACATGCCAATCACCTGCAAGACAGGAATAGAAACCACATTATTCTGTCTCAAGCTGTCACAGGGACTCCCCAACTAAGGAAGCAGTGTATGAACACACAAGATTAACACAATTTTCAAAGGTTTCCAGTGTGGGAACCTAAGAGAAAAGCATGTTTGATTAGGGAATTATATCACAGCAGCATCTAAGGTATATTTTAGGGGGATGGGAATCACTGAGGACAGATTTCAGCAGTATTAGTATAGTAAGTAAGTAAGCTTTACTGTACGAGCCAAATGCCATGACAAAACCATAGAAAAGAAATATATATATATAGCTGTAAAGGTAAAGGGACCCCTGACCATTAGGTCCAGTCGTGACCGACTCTGGGGTTGTGGCGCTCATCTCGCTTTATTGGCCAAGGGAGCCGGAGTACAGTTTCCAGGTCATGTGGCCAGCATGACTAAGCCACTTCTGGCGAACCAGAGCAGCACATGGAAATGCCGTTTACCTTCCCGCTGGAGCGGTACCTATTGATTTACTTGCACTTTGATGTGCTTTCGAATTGCTAGGTTGGCAGGAGCACGGACTGAGCAACAGGAGCTCACCCTGTCGCGGGGATTCGAACCGCCAACCTTCTGATAGGCAAGCCCTAGGCTCTGTGGTTTAACCCACAGCGCCACCTACGTCCCATATATAGCTGTGTATATATATAAACAGCCACTGCCTGAACCATCAAAATCATAGAATGAGGATGCACAGACTGGGGACTCCACACAGAATACACAAATTTCCAATTTAGACCTATTATTAGTATAGTGAACACATACAAAATTCCCTCTCACAAGATGTGGTGATCAATTGTAGCCTAGATGGCTTTAAATAAGAATATGAAACTCTACTCGTCTAGTCTAGCATCCTGTTCTGACAATTGCCAACCTGTTCTCTCACTGCCTGTGCAAAGCCTGCAAGACCTGAGCACAAGGTCTGCCCACTTGCAATTCCCAGCAACTGTCATTCGGAGGCATGTGGAGGCAATGGAATGGAGGCAGAACATGAAAATCTACCTAAACAGAACTGGACACATTTGCGAAGGATAAGTCTACTATTCACCATGAAAGCTAAATGGAAACTGCATGCACAGAGGCAATATATCCCTTGAATACCAGATGCTGGAGTCAGACAAGAACAATGCCCTGGTCTTAATGCCCGGCTTGTTTAAGGACCAGGGCTAGTACTGGGAACCTTCAGTTCCATATGGGGCCCTGGCAAGTGATTCAGCTAAGAACATCTTCCCAGCAATGAAGTATTCTCAAGCTCTGGGTGGCCCTGTCTTATTGGGCCCTCCTGAATCAGAAAGCCTTCCCTGTTTGGGCTGGGACACTACCTGAATAGTAAGGTCTTTCAACAGTGGTGTGTTTCTTCTGTGCCTGACTTCGCCCCTTAGCCCTGACTCTCTGGCTCTTGAACCACCTCTGACAGCTGCCTACAACTCACCCTTGACAGCTTCTTGGCTTCCAGAAGTATCTGGCTGGCCAACGGTGGAAACAGAATGATGGACTAGACCAGTGTTTCCCAACCTTGGGTCTCCAGCTGTTTTGGGACTACAATTCCCATCATCCCTCACCACTGGTCTTGCTAGCTAGGGATGATAGGAGTTGTAGTCCCAAAAACAGCTGGAGAACCAAGTTTGGGAAACCCTGCACTAGACTGGCCCTTGCTTTCTCATTGAACTCTGCTGCTCTTATTTTGCTAAAGGTTATGATAGTTATTTTTTAAGCTTAATATTATATTTGCTGCAAATTACTTATAAACACATAATATGTATTTCTAAGAACAAGTCTAAAGACTTTTTAACACTAAATGGAGCTCAGAAGGCTATCTGCCACCCACAAATGTGACAACTATTTAAAGTGGTATAGCATATGAGAATGATACAGAAAATTCACTAATAGACTCTATTCAAACCGCTCTGAATCAGAAAGCAACTGTGAAGCACCAGGAGAAGTGCAACCCCTCTTACCGTCCATCCATGTATAACCACAAAGGTTTTACTGGTGTGATTGAAGCTGCACTGCGCTACACTGGTTTCCTGGCCAGGAACTATGAGGCAGGTGTCTTCATCAGGTTTCCCAGGTGTCCTTAAAGAAAATTTGCTCTCAATGCTGCTGAAGTCCCACTTTTTGTCCGTAGTGCTCCCTAATGTGAGAACAAAACATGAAAACATTAAAATGACTTAAAAGAAAAGGAATGCCAGCAAATAATGTGATCGTTCTGCATTGCACACACAGCCTGTGTGGCCATAGTTCTCTTGAAGGGTCTTCCTTGAGGATGGTGGACCACTGTCCCCTGCCCATCCTAGGCTGCTGGCAAGCCCACAGCTATCATTGCTTTAGCAGCTGTATTAGCAGCTAAAGAGGCAGATGGGCCACCCTGTTTCTGATCCCTAGCTACGATGGAATTCATCAGCATGTAAATCATTTGCCGCACAAAGAAAACGCATACTATTATAATTTAAAAATTTATCACATTACCAATGGTTTTTTTTCTTAGCTCAGCCTTGCAAGTTGATTCACAAACACTAGTAACCTGTCTGCATGTGTGTGTACACAACACAGTTCACAAAACACAGTTTATAAAAGGATTCCTGTCTTGTGTGCCTGGCTATCTATAAACCCCACCATCATCAAATATTTTACTTTACTTGAATCAAGACATTTAGACTTCACTAGCAGCTTCCATCTTGCTCTTTAACAAAAGGGGCAGACAATATATTTTGCAGTGAAGATTGCTTAATTTTAACATTAAGCATGGTCTAATCTCAGTCCTTTGCCGAATAGGCAGCTCTTGGTCTGCTTCCACCTATCAAATATTTATTCACCTTTTCATAACATAGCAAATGTTGGTACTACAGCTGCCTTGTTTATCTAACTGTGTATTCAATTCGTTGTTTCACATAGGAGTTTCACAATGTTCTGGGAACATATTTGTGGAGTGCTGTTCAGAACTAGCAAAAGGAAATGACGAAACCACAGCGTCTAATATATGTGTACAAATACAACAGAGACTTGGATTACTCTTAATTAGGCTGAGATTTTACTTTCTGCGACCTTTACAAAAACTATCATGCTATTACATGTATCCTAGGATGTATATACACAAAAAATATTGAACTGACAGGTTTTCCCACTGAAATCACGAATGTTGCGCTGGAATTTATTTATATTAATTATTATTATTATTATTATTATTATTATTATACCACCCTACATCTGGAGGTCTCAGGGTGATTCAGCCCATCATATCCAAGTAGGCCAATGGTTCCTCTAACAGTTATATGTTTAATACCCTAACCTAAGCTCTAGGTGAAGAAATGCCAGCATTTTCAAGGGTGTATTCCCATTTCAAAGTTAAGCATGCGTATATTTGCAAAATGAGTCCAGCACCATATTCCTTGGGTTGAAATCAGTAGGACTTTTGTCTCACTGGCTTCTGTGCATTGGTGCCAGGAAGGCTAAAAGGTGTGTGTAGTGGAAGGGAAGTAAAGGAAGCAATTAAACTCATTTATTTTTGTGGAAATTATTCTCAGACTTTGGAATCTGTGACTCTTTGGCTCCCCTGCCTCTGAAGGAAAATATTTTAGTATGGCTGGGATCACACATACCATATTGTGCATTTATTAGAACTAAATAAATTTTAGAATTATTCCCCCCCCCCATTTGTTTATTTTACATAATGCCTTTCAACCTGCTAGGACTCACTGCCATCTTCAGGGAGCTCCCTTTCAAGAGAAATACATTTTATTCCTTCAGTCCTAGCTGAAGAATTTTGGTTCAGGCAGGCATTCCCAGGTTTATGCTGTTTAATGGTACAGGGTTTCTTTTTTTTATGCTGGCTGGTGCTAGTTCATATTACCGCTTATGATATTTTATGGCAGCTTTCGCACCTCATTGTTGTCAGTCTCAAGTACCACTCACAGTAGCCTTGCAAAACAAATGCATTGTCTCCTCAACCTATTGCCAGTTCCTAAGTACATCTTTAGGTTTATCACAGATTGCTAAATAAATATTCATTTTACCCACTAAGAAAAGGAAATTCATAGTTGAGTAGGTCTTAAGCTAAGTTAAAACAAACTCTTTGCTGCTCCATTAAGTGATGAATCGACGGACTTCTGGGTGGAATAAAAAGAGCCTTCAACTATACAGAATGCATACAGGAAACTCTGTAATAGACTTCTGGTCATGAAAGGTTCTTGTTCCAAACAGAAACACAAAGAAGAACACCCTGTCTGTATTTTATTTACACCTTTGCATTTCTATACTTAGCTACTCTACAACTCCAGTAAGTTCATATAATTTCATAAACACAAAACTTTTACCAGTTTATACCTAGCAAGACATCTTGGCATGAAAAGCCAAGCTTATTTCATTTGAATTCCTGCCTGCCAGCTAAGTATACATAGCATACACATATACTGCCTTTATGCAGTATATGACTGTTATTAAGATTTCTACAGCACCTTTGAAGAGCTCAAATAAATATGAACTGTCTAGACCAACTAACAGTCTATACACCCTAGAACAGAGCTTTAGAAACTGAGTCGCGACACATTAGTGTGTCAGCTGCAGTGTGCAGGTGTGTTGCGTGAACGCTCCCCGCGCTCCTCCCGGGGCTGGTGGAAAGGGGTTAGTTTAACCTCTGGTTTTCTAGTAAAACTGAATTACAGTACTGTGTTGCGAAATGATGTATGTCTAAAAAGTGTGTCACCCACATGAAAACTTTGGAAAGCTCTGCCCTAGAATCATAGAATTCACCAAGCAAGTAAAGGTTAGTGGGAATGTTTTTCCTACCTCTGAAGTACAATTACTTATAGTAGGAATGCTAGTAACCATCAAAAGCAGGGTCAAGCACCAAAAAGCAGGATGCAACACTAACACTTGCATTAGAATTATTTTATTGCTGCAATTTGTATTGCCAACCATCTGGAGGCCCAATCAAAACCTCCAATCAGGGATAGAGTTAATGTTTTCCAGTGAAGCCCCACCCTCTCCACCTGACGCTGTTATTAATCCCAGGAGAGAAGCTTCATTAGCCACGAAAAATGAAAAGAAGGCTTCTAGTTTAAAATCAGGGAAAGAGTATTCTCTATAAAACACTGCAACCACCATTCATATCAGCTGAGCGCAGGAGAGCATTTATTGAACTTCGTGCACAAAACTGTTGCAATTTACATGAACAACAATACTCAAAATTTGCAACTACTGTATCAGCATTTACACAGTGTATTCCGGAAACAACTGCTACAGATAAGAAGCTGGCAATTCAGCTGTTAACTGACCAATGTTATGTTAAGTTATTAGTCACAAACTTTCTATAATTCTACAATTCACAATAAAATGAAGCTTTGCCAAGTTCCTTTCAAGTAGTTATTATTTTCCCTATTATGGAAATAGGGAAAATATGTATTAAATAAGCTACATTAACTTAACTTCCTGCAGTGTAACTCACTGACTTTATGATCCAACACACTAGGAAGGACACAAAAAAGATGCTGTGATCAATGGCTGGCAAGTGGTATGTTGTAAACAGCTTCACTGATCAGGAACAAAAGCCCACTGACTGACACCCGATGGTGAACCAGAGGCCAAGCCTAATCTTTGAGAAATGGGTGTTTAACTTGGTTGCAAGTGAGGTATTTTGCAAGGGGGATTAAGAAAATATTTGGGGGTTTTCCTACTTGACTAAAGAGTTCTCCTTGTCATTCTTTTCATTTTCTGCATTTTAGCTATGTATGCTTTCAGAGCACAGCACAGAACGTTTCAAGCTGATGATGTGTGGTCCTGTTCTGCCCAGTTTAGACTGGTGGCCTAAACTTTTGCTGGTGAAGTATGCAGGACTTAACAGTACAGTGGTACCTCGGTTTAAGAATAGTCCAGTTTAAGAACGATTTGGTTTACAATCTCCACAAAACCGGAAAACGTGTCCTGGTTTGAGAACTTTACCTCGGTCTAAGAATGGAATCCGAGTGGTGGAAGGGCACCGGTGACGGGAGGCCTCATTAAGGAAAGCGAGCCTCAGTTTAAGAACAGTTTTGGTTTAAGAACGGACTTCCAGAACTGATTAAGTTCATAAACAGAGGCATGGCCAAATGTCTGCTGCCCGCAATGTCCTCTAGATCTGGTCTCTAGATGCTGGCCTCCCAGGTGGCAGTGATCCAGCACAGGTATGCTTGCACTGTGTTTGAATCCATTGTAGTAACTTCTGGAATGGAACTGCCACCTTACACATGCAAAATAAATGTGAATGGTCTCCCCACCCCCAATATAAATAAAGAAGCCTGAGCAGGACATGCATGCTAGTGTTATTCACAGAGCAGCATGAGACAGAAACTCTGAAAGAATCCACATGTGCTCAAATTATTGCCTTCTTCACATGCCATGGTAAGTCAGAATTTGGTTTGCCATTACCATGCAAACATGCTACCTCCCAGAGGAGAATTTCCCTCTTTTGTTCCTTCTCAGGCTTATTATGTCAGTATGGCACAGCAACTAAGCCAAGGTTTGGTTTTGTGTGTTGTGTGAACCCAGGATCATGGTTAAAGGATCTCCTTCTTCACTACAACCTGTTAAGCAAGCAAGTGAACTGTAAAATGAACCTTGACTTCAGAATATCCGAAGCTAGGGAAGGCAGAACTTGCTGTTTCTACCCATCACAAATCTGTTAAAAGCACATTAGTCCTGCCATTTTGCTCATGCAGCCATAAGACTGGAATAATGCAACATATGAAAATTGGAATGTGGTCACAGAGTGACTAATCTGTAATATGTAGGCCTGAATACTGAACACTACCTTACCAGATGGTAACTTGTTACCTACAGTCGTGAAAGGTGCTTTTAAAAAGCAATGAATAGGTGCTTTTTCTGCACAAGCAACTTTGGACTTTCAACAACTCTAGCAACTCTGACTAAGGCTTTTAAATAATAACAACAACAACAACAACAACAACAACAACATCAACATCTTCAAGGAGCCCAATGGGGTGGTGGTAGTCAGCTAAAGTACTTTACTAGGAGTATATATACCAGAAAACAAGGGCTACATCTTGCAGACAGAAAACATGCAGTGTGCACAGTGCGATTAGAGAAGCCCTTTGCTAACACTTTGCCAAGTTTTGTGTGAGGGGCGGAAAGGAGAATTTTAGGCACTCTCCATCTATCTCCCTTGAACTGCAAACCTAGTGTATGGCCAGTCTCTCTTCCATCCTTTCAGCTTTCTTCCCTGCTCTCTAAGGGTTGCATCTGGAGATTAGGTGTGTGTGGCTATATTGGCATCCAATGGGCACAAGTACATGCGCCTGCATGAGGATTAGACGACTGACTTCCAACGCACTCTGTGGAGACCAAAACACCCGCGAAACAGCGCTTTTCCCTTCCCTTCCCTCTCTGGTTACTACACAACTTTCCACAGGCACTTCCTCCCCGCTCCCTCCCTCCCTCCCTTGAGTGGCGCTTTCATCCTCCAGGGAGCATCCCAGCCAGGCTTTCCCCGGCACGGAAGCTGGAGCCGAGGCGGCAGCCGCTCTCCCTCCGCACGATCCCTCCCTCCTTCCCTGCCTGCACCGGCTCCCAGCAGCCCTTGAACCAGGGTGACCTTGGCCCACGTTCCAGGGATTCCTGGGCTCGCGAGCGGAGGAGTTACTAGCGGTCACCAGCAGCAGCCGTCAGCCGGCGGGCCCCTTCCCCGCCCAGCACACTCCTCCAGAGCGCGCGGGTGCCGGAGGAGAGCCGCCCTGCCCACTCCTGACGCGGCGGCGGCGCCGGCACGAGGAAGGGCGGCGGGCAGCAACAAGGAAGCGCGCAAAAGCAGCCGAGGGGCGGGAAGGAAGCTGGCGCCTGGCAGCGTGCGCGCCCCGAGCCGCAGAACCTGCGCCTCCCCGACGCGCACGCCGAGCCCCGCAAACCCTTCGCCTCAGCGCGCCTTTCCTTTTCGGCTCAAGTTCCGCAGGGCGTCGAGCTGCGGCATCGTAACCCCGTCAAGCGTCCCCAAACTTCTTTATGTATCTTAACCCGCCGCCACCACTCCCATTCCTTTCGCCCTTCCAATCTGGGGTCGTCTTCTCCCCTCTCTCTCCCTTCCGCGGCGCCTCACATTTCCCCGCCAATACGCACAAAACTGCCGCGCAATGGTCCAACCGGCAGGCCCTTCTCTTAAGGGCGCCTCATCACAGAGAAGCCCTAGCGGGCGGGGCAGGTTCACCACTAAACAGCACACCTGCTTCTTCCGCAGTCGCGGGCAGGCGGCAAAAACTTAAGCCGCCTCATCCCGCGCGCGCTGGACTGCTTGCGGAAACGCGGACTGTGCTACAAGCCCTTACAGGGTCCTCCGCGCTTCCGCGCATACCTTTCCCTACCATCCTCGGGTATGAACTTCTCCGAACACCCCCCCCTCCCCGCTTGACACTTGGCACCGTCCCGGGATGCCGGAGGCGCCCCTGCACTCAAACTTGGGAGCCAAGTCCCCTGACGTCGGCGCGCATTACTTCCCAGTGAGCTCGCCCTGTCAGCCGCCCTTCCAGACCCACCGCGAAAATTGGCGCCCGCTTCTGACCGACCAGCGCCTTATCCTCTCGCTCCAGACGTCCGCTTGTCCTCCTCCCGCCCTCTCTGCTCCTCAGCCGCCTCCGCGGGTTCCCTTCCACTCCGCCCGCTCGACGCGTTTAACCTGCTACTACTGCTCGCCCTCCCGCCACCCCAAAGCCAGCGCGGGCGCCGCGCAACGCTCCTTCTCTCCCGCCAACCCCAGCCAGGTTCGCTTCGCAGAGCGCTCGCTGGTCGCGTGGCCGCCTCGCTCTCTGGGCTGCGAGCGGGTCTGCACTTACTTGGGACCGAGGTGGTGCTGGTGGCGGCGGCGTTGCTGCTGCTGCTGCTCGGGGCGGCGGGCTGGGAGGCAAGAGCGACGAGGCACAGGGCTGCCAGCAGCGCGCGCCTGTCCATCGCTCCGGAGACCGGGGTAGAAGCGCCGCGAGCGCAAGGTGGCGGGCGGCGTCCGGGCGGGAAAGTTTCCCCTCAAGTTGTGCCGTGGGAAGGCGGGGAGGATTCAGAGGGCGCCCTCGGAATGGCACGAAGGCAAGATACTCGCGCTTGCCCCCCACCCCGCCCAAGCCGGCGCTTTATAGAAATATGCAAATGAAGCTCGGCACCTATTGGTTCGAGGAGGGGAGGAGGGGCCCGACCCCTTGGCTGAGCAATGCGCGCGAGGAAGGCTCCGCTCAAACACTTCTGCGAGGCTCGCTTCCTTTTGGCGCAGCTGGACTTGCTCGGAGCCGAGAAGGCAGTGGGCGGAGGAATGCCTTGCAAGCCCCAAACTTAAAGGACGAGGGGCTGCAAATGCGCGGAAGGAAACCACTGGGGAATTGAATTAAGATGCTCAGGTGTCTCCCCGTCCCCGAAGTCGCGACGTGGATATAGGAAAATCCTTGCTAAACCAGACCTGATGGGGGAGATTCATGAGCGGGACCAGACGGACTGGTTTGGTTTCCCACCTGGTATCTCCTCCCCAAAGCTACCATACTTTCATCAACACCTGCGCATGCCAAAGTGGAATCCCACTGTGTTCAGGCCAGGGGAACTTCTGTCTGGGGGAGTTTTGCGCAGGGTTGCAGCCTTAGTCCCGCAAAGGTGGGGCAGATGCCATACCTGCATCGATCGGACTCACACTGCACATGACAGAAGTTAGGAGCAAGGATTTCTAATGTAGTCCCAATTGCTAACCAATACGAAAATGAGCCCCCACCCCAGCACCCTCCTCTGAAATGAAGAAAAATGGAGATGAATTTTCTAGAACAATGTTTTTGTTAAGAAAGGGACAGGAGATCTCTTTTCTATTCTGGTACTTCAGTCAAATTATGGAGCTCAGAATTCTGTAAATGTGCATCTTGAAATCTGCCCACTCATCTCCGACTTAAATGACTTTTAAAAATGCTTGCTTGCTTTGTTATCAGCAGTCAGCCAGACTACAACCTTGGACAGAAAACTTGCATTTAGGTAGAACTAACTTTGGATATTCAAATTCCTGCAATGGGGTGAGCTCCCATTGCTCAGTCCCTGCTCCTGCCAACCTAGCAGTTCAAAAGCACCTCAAAGTGCAAGTAGATAAATAGGTACCGCTCCAGCAGGAAGGTAAACGGCGTTTCCGTGTGCTGCTCTGGTTCGCCAGAAGCGACTTAGTCATGCTGGCCACATGACCCGGAAGCTGTACGCCGGCTCCCTCGGCCAATAAAGCAAGATGAGCGCCGCAACCCCAGAGTTGGTCATGACTGGACCTAATGGTCAGGGGTCCCTTTACCTTTACTAACTTTGGATATAGTGCATTGCATTTAAGCTTCTAAAAAAACCAGCAGTTACACACACATGGTAGTATACAGTGGGAGAATATACAGGTGTTGGGCATTTAAATGAAAAAGCGTCAAATGTGTGTTCCATATGGTCTGGAAAAATGCACCTTAAAGATAAAGGGCAATATCCATCCAGAATTTCTCCTGCACATGTCCCACATGAAAGTAGATTTATTTCAATTGGCTTTCGCAAGAGAGTTTCTTGAGGTATTGTGCCCAAAATTCATTGGTAAGATGTTCCAGAGTTTGCAGAGGTTGCCTCAGTCTCTTGGTTTCTGGGAATCATAAGTGGACAGAGTGCTGTTGCATCTAGTCAGCCCCCGTGAAAGCAGGATGCTAGGCTAGATGGCCCATTGGTCTGATCCAGCAGGCTCGTCTGATTTTCTCATGTTCTCCTGTTTCACAGTTTGGAACATGCAGAGTCCTCCCTGCCTCCCCTGCCCCGCCCATGGAATATCACAAACCTTCCTGAACTTCTCTTGCGTTCTTCCTTGTAAGTTTTTTTTCCCTGAACAGAGGCCTCCAAACTTGCTCCAGAATTTTCACTATCACTACAGCCAAAATGCACTGGTAACCTTAGTCCCAGGACTTTGCAACTTTCCTAACTGCATGGAGAGTTTCTTCACCAATCGATCAGAGCTTTATTACGGTCATAGACCAGCATAAGTAGGCTGCGGTACAATAATTTAGAATCTGTAAAATGTTTTGGAAGGCTAAAAAGTATTAAAACAGAAGGTGTATCTAAAAGACTATAAGAATCTAAAAGAAGGGTTAGGAACATTAAATGGATATGGAAGAGCATAAAAGGTTGGTATATAAAAGACTACAACTATCAGTTTAGAGAGCACCCTGATGTGAGTGTTCATTAAATCTAGTTTGTGGCACAGGTCGTCATCATATGACAAATTTTGAATGCTGTTGTGCAGAATCTGGCAACACTGTATGCTGTAGCAGAATTGGTATCTGACAGCAGCAGGGAGGTATAAAATTGTCCTATGCACCCTGGGTACTTATGGAGTAGTGGGGAGGGGAAGCAAATACGAATGTGTTAGCTACCAGGCATCCCCAAACTTGGCCCGCCAGCTGTTTTGGGACTACAGTTCCCATCATCCCTGACCACCGGTCCTGTTAGCTAGGGATGATGGGAGTTGTAGTCCCAAAACAGCTGGAGGGCCGAGTTTGGGGATGCCTGGTCTCTATAGTATAGGCACTGGAGAAGCACATGCTCTATTGCTTCTATTTGTCCAGTCACCAAGCTCTACACTCCTGAGAAGACAAGTGAGAGAGAACACACAGAATGCACAGTTGCTGCATTCATATTTTTCTTGGGCATGCAATTGAATTGTTTTAGTAACAGCTAAAATTCTAGTTGGTTAGCGACTCTTTTGTCTCCCTGCTTTTATTCTGGCTTGTTCTGATAACAATTGTATCTTGTTCTTATAACTTATATTATATTTTTGGCCATTTTTAAATTGCTGGTCTATGACCATAATAAACTGGTTGCCTTTGCCATACTGCCTTTGCTGACTTCTCTATGGGACCTGCTTTTTCAAGGGGTTGGACTAGATGGCCCTTGAGGGACCCCTTTGAGCTCTAGGATTCTGTGATCCAACCTTAGTTAAGCACTTTGAAATATCACTGGTGTCAGTGGGAGAGTTAAGTTGAAGATCTAATAACGTTTAGCATATTAAGGCTACGTACTTCGCTGAGGATTTGAGGCTCAAAGCCAGCTAACATTGGACTGAGCATATTTAGGCCATGGCACAAAACACTTCTCAACCTGATTACAATTATCTGCAGCTGGAAGAAAACTCCCAGAAATATCCAAAGAGTCGCAGAGCCAGGACTGAGCAAGCATCCTAGAGTAATACGATACACATTGTGTTAGCTAGATTTTCATATAAACTAGTTGGGAAATGATTGATTCTGCTTAGCTCACTTGCTCAAGGAATGCATATGTTTACAGACCCAGCCACAATAAGAGATACATGTCCTGGGTGGCCTTGTCAAGACATCAGTGCTCGCCCTAATCTACTTCGCAAGGTTGTTGTGAAGATAAAATGGAAACCGTCCTGTCTTAAATGCCTTAAAAGGAGAGCGGAACACATAGCAGATAGCTAGGCAGACAGGCATATTGACCTGTTTTAATTAATCCAATGTATTACATATGTATTTGCATCGACCAGGGCCAGAGCCTTTTTAGCCCTGGCCCCAGTCTGGTGGAACGCTCTGTCACAAGAGACCAGGGCCCTGAGGGATTTGACATCTTTCCGCAGGGCCTGCAAGATGGAGCTGTTCTGCCAGGCCTTTGGTCTGGGCCCAGTCTGACCCCCTTCTTTCTATGGGACCCTGCATGTAAGTGGCCTCCTTGGCTCTTTCTATTGGCCCATATGGGACCAGCACAGTCCGAGCACAGTTCAAAGTGTTGGTACTGACCTTCACAGACCTAAACAGCCTTGGCCCAGTATACCTGAAGGAGCATCTCCGCCCTCATTGTTCTGCCCAGACACTGAGGTCCAGCGCCAAGGCCCTTCTGGCGGTTCCCTCACTGTGAGAAGCCAAGTTACAGGGAACCAGGCAGAGGGCATTCTCGGCAGTGGCACCCGCCCTGTGGAATGCCCTCCCATCAGATGTCAAGGAAATAAACAACTGTCTGACTTTTAGAAGACATCTGAAAGCAGCCCTGTTTAGGGAAGTTTTTAATGTTTGATGTTTTGTCACTTTATTATTATTATTAATAATATTAAGATTCTCTTGGGAGCCACCCAGAGTGGCTGGGAAAACCCAGCCAGGTGGGTGGGGTATATATTATTATTATTATTATTATTATTATTATTATTATTATTATTATTATTTATTAACAGTTTCACACACCCAGCAATAGAGAAACCAACAAGGGCAGGAAGAGAATATTTGGGGTTGTAATAATTGAGACAAGAGAGATAAAGTTTTGGCACTGGAAAAGTGAATAGGGTTCTTGTTGTGGTATGACCCTTGGTGACCTATTTCTTTGTTTGCATTATAGGCTGTCCAAATTACTCCATGGTGGATCCTGGTTAAATTAGTTGAATGTAGGTCCCATTGAAATAAGTGGGTCAAGTCAGTCAACATCAGTTCCATTGATTTCAATGTGAACTAAGTTCAACTAACTTAGTCTGAATCCAGCTTTCAGTTTCTGGGCAGGTGTCACCTTTTTTTATATCTCTCTCTTCAAATCTCTGCCAGGTAGAACAGTGACTCTCTGGTCTAGTCATTCAGATGCCCATAACGCTCTCTCTTTCTCTTTCTGTCTTTTCTCCTTCTTCTCTAACTTCCAGTCTGCATCTCTTCCACCCATGGGTCAATTTAGAGGCATGTTTAACTCTTTCAACTTTAGCAGGAGGGAATCTTCTGTTTCATGTAGGCAAAGAAGTTGATTTAGACAACAAAAGCCAGATTCCAGGAAAATCCAGACACTGGATTTAAAACAGCCCGTGCTGCATTTTTTGAGTACGGTCTAGTTCATAATGCCAGAGAGGCAGATACCACCCGCCAAGTGCATCTGGTTGTCTTGCCAGCCATTTTTTAAAAGCATGCAATGCAGAGAGACAGCCGGGTGCCGGCCCCTTCTCACTACAGGGGTGGGTGGTGGGTGTGGAGCCCAAGTCCCTTCTGCCATTGGTTCTTTCCCTCCTCTGTTGATCAGGCTCACATGGTTCCTTGGCTATTTCTGCAGCATGGGAAAGACATCGTCCCTCCAGCCCTTTGCCAGGCTGCATAAAAGTGCAAGAGTGAGGAAATGATTGGCTGGTGGGAAAGGAGGGTGGGGAATGATGGCTTTTGCTTTATTTATTTATTTTGGTCCAAGAGAAAAACGTTTAGTTCCTGCGGAGCTCTGTCTTCCTCACGGACAAAGTCGCTTCCCTTGCCAGCCCTCTCTGAACCAGCCAATTCCACCCCCCCACCT